GCAGTGAGGTCACAAGGGTCACTATGATTGGCTGTTAATAGTAGGTGGGCCAGTTGACTAGTAACTACCTGTAGGGGGGATAGGTAGATGCTGTACTAGTATAGACTGGTCCAAGCCTACATGTATGATAGACGGTGTCATAATATAGTGTGTGTAGGAGAGAAGGTAGATATCTGTTGTAAGAGGAGTTAGTCTTGAACATTATGACTGAGAGTTTGTATAGCATGTCGTTAATGTGTGGTATATGAACTAGGTTATTATCAGGCTGTTACACGAGCCAACAGCCAACCAATCAAATAGACACTAGTGAGAATGCTGTCAGCTGTATAGACCAGCTTTCATTAACACAACATATACACATATACATATACATATGTTGGTTTTGTGTTGTTCCACTGGCTGACAGTAGTTTTGGAATGCAGGAATACGGGACTCAGGTGGATCTACTGTTGTCAACTAAGGTGCAGACAGAGACCTGTTTAAATACCGATGGAATGGTGCAGACGGACAGTATCGTGCATGCCGATAGCATAGTGCACACACACACACTTCATTGTGATGATGAAGAAGATAATGATTTGTGTGGGTCGTTAGAGTCATCATTATTTAGGTTAATATCTACTCATATTACCACTTCTTCTTTTTCAGCGCTATCATTATTCTTCATCTACTATTCTGTTATATTAATGAAAATCATTCAACAGACATTAGACACTGAATACTCTTTGAAAAAGCTATTTTCTCCTTCTTACCATAGCATATTGATTGAGTCCTAGATGTTATAATATTGATTTTAGGATGGCATTTATGTTACGACACAGGACTTTCTGATTTTTCTAATGAATATGTACTTAAAGGATTTCTGCTCATTGAGTGAACAGGGAAGCGTAAATTGTTACTGGGAAGTGAATATAATTTTATTTGAGACTCAAATTTATATAAGTTGAGCTAATTTCTATTTTAAATTCCTCTTAATGTGGTTGTTATAGGGTACTATATAACCGCTAATATTTTGTGTGTGTCTTTTTTTCACTTATTACTGTGTCATATTAGTTCACGGTATTGTGCATAAAAGTTATATTTGGGTGTTTTAAATCAGACCATCTGGTGCAGAAGTGAAAGTGTGAACTCTTTAAAAGTGTAAACAAACAATTTAATCTAAACAAAATGATTGAGTCAGAAAATGTTTCCAGTACATGGCAGTCACTTTATTTCAGAAGGCATCTTGTTGTTTTGTATTAATAGTCACCAAATGATGTGCAACGGAACTCGTCAAATTAATTTTTGGTTTAATCACAAAGAGGATATCCTGTCAATCATGTAAATGTCACCTAATTGGACATCCAGTGGAGTTAAAATTAGTGTAAAATTGTTGTGTTTTTGTCGTGTAATTGAACATGTTTACAGTACAGCATTACATAGTTTTATAATATGCGAACACTTGTCAAGTAACGTGATGTATGTATTGTGATACATGTATATATAATCGATGTAAGTGTATTTTATCTATACACACATATATGTATATAATCAGCTGTATGTCAAGTTATTACTGTTAGATTTATACCTCCAAAATATGTGGCCAGTTGACCTCTTGACTTTTAACCTACATAATGTTGATGTTTATATCAGTAGTATACTCCATAGACTTAATCTTTATTGTATATAAATACAACTTTTTGTACATACGACATTATTGAAAAGGTCAAAAAGCTCCTAATGTAATTTATTTAATTAACAACCACTGCTGACTTGGATTATTATTCATTCTTGAAAGTCTATCCTAATATTTAATTGGAAAACGAGGAGGGGTACGGCAACACTCCCTTAAATAAGTAGAAAAGCTGGACAGGCTGGTACATCTGCGTAGGATCTGGATCAAAAAATGATGCCGGCGGGGCGGAGTAGTAGAATAGATAAAATTAAAGAATCCCCACCAAACAGAACCAGCAACAGACTTGTAGATTTAAAAGATCTTTATATCAATCCAACGTTTCGGGTGCAATACCCTTTTTCAAGAATGATTTTTTGTGTTCAAATGCGAACAACATATTTAATATTTAGAGAAATGTATCACCAATCGCTTCATACCTAAGGGTTTGAGCCACAATAAACTAACTCCACAGACTCCTACTTTTCCCTCCAAATATCTTATACTTTGGGAAGCTGCACATCAAGATTTCAGAAAAGCACTCACGAGAATCCTATCCAACTATTGGAAAGAAAGAAAAACCTACTTGGATTAAGCCAGAATAAATTCACTCCGACTTTTCCCACCAAACAACTTAAACTCTGGAAAGCCGCACATCAAGAATTCTGAAAAGTACTAACTAGAATCCTCTCCAATTATTGAAAGGAAGATAAATCAACTCACACTTGGATTTTATTTAGAAAACCTATTTTCCTCCCTAAGAAGAATAAATATCACCAATACGTACCAGATCGAGGAATATCTATTTAAAACCTAATCGACACCCTAATTCTACAGCATTCATTTTATACGCTAGATTCTAGATAAACTGTTTTTCGTACAACCTCGCCTTTAAGCCTCAACTACCTTATCTTCACTTAGTATATCCTTCTCCCGTGGCCCTCTAACTACAGAAACTATATTTCATAGAGGTGACCAACAACCCATCTATTTAACCTGAATACGATCCACCACTCATCATTATCACCGATTTCACGATCCAAAAGAATTGAACCACCAAGCTACGTAATTACTCCTTTTAACTCTATACTCCGCTAATCACACAACCTTCAGTCCGATCGTAGCAAACCCCTTACGGATTCCAGTCTTTTATTCCTCCTCTGCACGTTTGAAGACTAGGAGGTTCCGGATGACCGAGACTATACGTATCAACTTATCCCATCAATACAGAAGAAGATGAAACAACCACCGCCTCAGCCATCCTGGAGTACATTATCTACTATTCATTTTAAATCGCTCCATAATTATCATCAATCTATAAACATTCTTAGTTCCATCCAACAACAACAGCAAAGAAAAAGAAGAAGAAACAGCCGTAGCCACAGCCATCCTAGAAGACATCAATGATAATTATTTTATTTAAATCCGCGATAATCGACCTATTCTTTGTTATTTTAAAATATTAAATCTTTACTTATTCTTATAATTATATTAATAATTTTACTTATTTAACAATCTTTAATTTTTTAAAAATCCTTTTTGTACATACAAATAAATTTAACGATCCTCGTTTTTAACAATCCTTAATTTTAACGATCCTTTTCTTTCAAACCAATCATTGTACATTGATAAATTTAAAAATCCTGTGACGTCATCTCTTTTGTTTGTATATAAGGTGTCACAGGATTCACAAAAAATCATTCTTGAAAAAGGGTATTGCACCCGAAACTTTGGATTGATATAAAGATCTTTTAAATCTACAAGTCTGTTGCTGGTTCTGTTTGGCAGGGATTCTTTAATTTTAATTTTATCTAATATTTAATTAATATTGATAGATTAGACGGAGTATTTGTATGTAATTTAATTATTTAGATAGTATTAAAGATAGAGTAGGATTTATCTTTTGGAAAAAATGTTAATCCATACAAATAGGTTTACTAATAATCCTATAAATTATACAGAAAGAATAATAGAGTGTGAAGGTGTTTTTATGTTGTGATCGATATGATTTATGACTGTGTAGAATATGAAATATGGAGGGTTATCAAGCTGTAGTCATGTCATGGTTCATTGATAATATTAATTGACAGTGTATGAATGTGGTCAAGCTGACACCATCTTGACCAAAGCAACAGTTGACTAAATCATCAAACCATTTATAGATTGATTTATTTCCGCGTCACTGACACGCCAACAGGTTAAACTTATTCAAATGTACTCCATGTTATTCAAGTCAAGTTTTATATTTCTCTCCATGACAAAAAAGTGGATCAGTTCATTGTTCATTAATATGTCTTGTAACTAATGTAATACACTAAGGAAACACTACCGGTAATTAAAAAGATGTTGCGTGTATTTTGTTCTTAGATTAGTTATGTTCAAACAGTTAGGTTAATGTTATTTAATGGCCAAATAGTTAGGTTAATGTTATATAATGTTCAAATAGTTGGGTTAATGTTATTTATATACCTGTTGTGACATATTAATAAAATACTTGTCTTATCTACAGATTCAATTCTAGTCTTATCTTAGAATGCTTTAAATTTAACCAATGCAAAAATACCTGTATTATTCTGATTATATCTTTAAATATAAGCTTAGGAGTGAAATCAAATAGGTCCATTGATATATTTCTATAATTTAGGTAACTAAATATTGTAGAAGATTGGTTAAGTCTAGTTCAAATCATTATTTCAATAAGCGTTATTGTATAGATGATAAATAATATAGAAGGAGGAAATGTTTATATACATTATATAAGTATGTTGTTTCATATCCTAACACCGTCCCTCTTTGACCTCTACTTACAGTTAATTCACTTAAATATGTCTAGTTACATGATCCAACAAGTCCTGACCTTTAACCCTTCAAATAATATTCAACATAAAAACAGTAGTTTGTCTCTAGTTTGTATCCTGAATATAGACTTTGACCTTTTCATTTCTATATTAAGATCTATATGATGTGTTTTAATTGGTTAAAACAAGTAAACAAGTAAATTGGCATAAATCTTTTCTTCCTTGAGCAAATGACAAAAAATAGACAATTGAAAGGGATGTATAAATGTGTTTTAATTAAATCTTATAGTTTGCTAGAACAGAAATTATAATTTAAATACCGGTACCCAGATATTTGAAATTTTGCATTATGTTTTATCTAAGACCAGGATGGTCTAAATGTGGTCTGGATGTTGGTGAATATGCCTTTGTTTTCTCAGTGATTAATATTCGTTACAGAGAGTTTCACATTAAGAACTAAACACACACAGACATTTGCCTTTTTTGATAAATGCACATAAATAATGTTGCCATCAATGTTAATTCTAATAAATCACCATGTCTTTTTTCAGTGGTGATCCAAACTCATGGGGTGGACCAAATCAAGGCCAGGCTTTGTCTGTAGTGACAACTGTTTGGGGTGTGACACCCACAACACAAAGTGCTCCCTCCTTTCATAACACACCCGCTCCTGGATTTACTAACACCACCATGACAGCTACCAATTATAGCCAACAACCACAAGGCTTTCCTGGAAACCAAATTCAAAAACCTCCTTATAACCCTCAAAATATGCCATATCGAAGAGATCCACGACCTAGGTAATATATGTTTGATTTTTAACGTTTATAATATATATATTATTTTATAACAATCTAGTATTTTGTGAATGGATTAATGTTAATAAATTAATCTTATAACTAATGAAGCTAATGAAACTAACTTTTGCTTGTATTTTGACTTTACTGTGAAAATGATGAATTACTGATTATTAGTAATGTTTGTTTGATTTTATTGCAGTGGTTACCCCCCTACACCTAACACACCAGGCTCTAATCCAGCTATGTCAGAAGGCAATGAATACCAGGCCCCGCCTGCTGCTTTATCCGCTGCAGCATTTGTAGCAGCTGCTGCGACTGCCACTGCTACAGCCACGGCAACAGCTAGTATGGTGGCTTTACAAGAGCAGCAAAACCAGCAACAAATGAATATGAACGTACATATGAATATGAATAATCAGTATGGGCAACAGATGCAGGTAAGAAAATGCAGTCACCCTTTTGCAGCGTAAACAGCCATTAAGATTGGAAAAAGATTGACTTTACAAATAAATTACAATTCCACAAAAACTCCGAAATATTAGAACCTTTTATCACGACATAAGTTTTTAGAAATGAAGCAAGATAATATAATTATTATGTACAATGTAGTCAGCTTATTTTTATTTTTTTTTGTATAACTAGTTATGTCAAGTGTTGCATAATAATAGATTTTCCACATCAATCTGTCAAATATCAAGCAGAACAGATTCCCATTGAATGTCTTTCTCTTAAGTAATTGGTGGATCAGTGAAGCATTTTATTTGACTAGTTTAGCGGTTTGCACTCGGCCATAACCTTACATGACAACTCAACCATGTATAGTTTTATACACCTAAGCTAAGCGTCCTTTAGTTGATTATATATGGGTATATATTTAACTTGCTTGTTTTTCCCCTGAAGGCGTAACTTATACACTGCTTGCATTGCTATTTTTATCACCTTTATACAATTAGAAACCAACAAGTAGAAAAAGTCATGTCATCCTTCATATTATGATTAATTAAACTCACTAACAGAAGTTAAACCTCCAACTGTCCTGACACTATAATAAGAAGGGTTGGTGTCTATTCACTTAATGTTAAATAAATGACTTTTAGATCTTCAAATGATCATGTGTTTGGGATTCTAAGGTAAATTGCTTTTTTCTCGTAATCTGTCAATTTATTTTAAAATAATTTGACAAAAGGATTTATGTATTGTAAGGTAACAAAACAGATATTTGTAATATTAATAAATGAATTTTTCATTTTAGCAAATGCAGCCTGGTCCACCACCTCAATATAATAACCATTATCCAGGGATGGGTCAGCAAAGACCACCAGGGCCAATGGGGATGGGTCCAGGAGGCCCAGGACCTATGTCTAACAAACCCTCCATGGGCATGTACCGAGGAAGACCTGCACCCTATCCAAATCCTCAACAGTACATGCAGTCAAAGCAGCGGCAGCAAGTCCAGTATCCTAATGGTGCAAATGTAAGTTGCCAATACGCTGCTTCCTCATATTCCTATTCTTACCTCCGCTTTATGTAAATTGTAATGTTGTCCAGTTGTAAAAATGTTTTAAGACTGTATTGTTATCCAATGCTTTGTGTTGACATTCTATATTTGATTTTCAGTTTGGTCCTGGACCAGGTCATCCTGGCCATCCCGGTCATCCTGGCCATCCCGGTCATCCCGGACACCCTGGACACCCTGGACATCCTGGACAGGTACAATATAACCAGCAGTACCCACCAAAGCCTCAATATCCTCCTACCCAGCAACCATTACCTTCCCCTACCTATGGCCCAGGTCAACCTATGCGGGGTAATGTTCCTACCCAGTATACAAATGGGCAGAATCCTTATATGGGCCAGGGTCAATTCATGCCTACTCGACCCCCTACTCAACCTCATGGCTTTACACAGTTTCCTGGTCAGGTAATTCGAAATGCTTTCTATATATTTATGAATTAATGTAATTTACTGATCTGTGATATTATTGAATGCCACACATTTGATTAAAGTAAAGACATTGTGTGTGTGTATATAGATAGTTAATTTAAAAACACATGTATTATTGTATAAAATAGAGAGAGATTGAATAATTCCTGATCTAGTGTTTAAATAATCTTACCAATGAAATTTTATTATTGCAGGGAAATTATCAACATCATTCACCTATCCCAGGTAATCCTACACCTCCCATGACCCCTGGTGCAGTTCAAGCTTACTCACAGGCTGATATCAAACCAAGTTTCCCCCCTGATATTAAACCACATTTACCAATCAAAAAAGGTAAGATTTTAAAATTTTAAATTATAAATGTGCCAGTTATGACACAATAGATCTGTTTTGATTAAAGTGGATAAATTGCGAAATAAATGGTGACTTATAATAAACAATGTCTGGTTATAAAATATGACCTTTGTCCATGCGCAGTTAAACTGGTATAAATGATTGATTAGTTAAATAAAACACCACAGCTGTTGCCATTTTCACTGTTTCAGCATAATTGACTGTCAACATGTATATCATAGAAATGAAATTGAAATTCACATTATTTATATGTATAATTTACTTACCATTGCCAATAACATTTTAAACAATAGAGTATAACTATGTTATGTGTTATACCACATGAAAGATTAAAGTATTACTCTAATATGTAAATGATTGATATTACATAAAGTGAAAATATAAAAGCTCATTGTCTCAACTGGCGTGGTTTATATTCCCTGGTTGTATGTGACAAGGAGTAGGGTCGTCTGTCCAACCCCGTGGGTTTTCTCTGGATCCCCCGGTTTCCTCTCACTGCTAAAGACCCCTACGCGCAAGCGAATTATTGAAATAAAATTGAACCATATGTTAGTCCCAAAATGACCTAGTTTGTGTCGAGTGGACGTTAAACTCCATTACTCTTTCTTTTTAGATCAAAGGGTTTTTCATTGTGTCAAGTGACATGGTTTCCATCCACGGCTTATATGTGACAAGGTGTAGAGTTACATCTTCCCTTATGGTTCTTTTCCTGGGTCCTCTGCTTTCCTCCCATCACTGAATGTGTGCCATATGTTAGTCCCAAAATTACATAAGTGAATGTTAAGCCCCCATTTCTCTCTTAAGCTGCAAATTTATTAGTCAAAAACAAGAAAGAGGAAAACCTGCTTCTGGCTTGAAAAATCATTAAAATAAAATAGATAAATTCTTATTAAATTGAAAATTATTTTTCAGAAGATGAATTGCGATTAACGTTCCCAGTTCGAGATGGAGTGGTTTTACCTCCATTCCGACTGGAACATAATCTGGCTGTGAGTAACCACGCATTTCACCTCAGGGACTCAGTTTATCAGACATTAATGTGGAGGTAAGGTACAAGTAGAAGTAATGATTGAGTTACTGCGTAAACCCATATTAAATCAATATGTTAACTTTCTATTGTAATATTTGATATCTTTCTATTGTTCGTTAACTATGATAGTGATCATTGGCTGCTTATAAAATGATCATTTATTTCTTTCAAATACATTGTGAATTATTAGAGCATGAATATGTTGGTTTAATTAATAATCAATACTTTATTCTGCTACGTAAATGATTTGTTAAATTGTTTAATTGTTAAACTAACATTAATGTTATAATTAATAGTTGCTCAGTTAATGCATCACAAATTATTTCTCAAAGAAAATTATCTTTTTTATCTTCAGATCTGATTTAGAGTTACAATTAAAATGTTTTCATCATGAAGATCGTCAAATGAGCACTAATTGGCCAGCATCCGTCACTGTTAGTGTCAACGCCACACCCCTTATAATCGAACGTGGGGAAAATAAATCGTCTCATAAACCTCTGTATCTTAAAGAAGTTTGTGCTCCAGGCAGAAATACCATTCAAATCACCGTCACTGCTTGCTGTTGTGTAAGTTTTCTTATTAAATCCTCGTCTATTCTCGTATCATGTGACATTTAATACGGCTTGATCATACTGAACTAAATCAAGATGACCTTTAATGTTTTGTTACATGATTAAAATTTCAACCTCAAGTCATCAAATATAGATTCCACTTGTGGAGAATTGATTGTCTTCGGCTTTTTTTTCTTTTCGGGTAAAACTATGTTCTAATATAAAACATCAATATTCTATCTTTTCAGTCTCATTTATTTGTTTTACAATTGGTCCATCGACCGAGTATCAGATCTGTTTTACAAGGCTTGTTACGGAAACGATTATTGCCAGCAGAACATTGTATCACCAAAAGTAAGAACACTACCTTTTTTTTTTTTCAACGTATGTTTTGTGTTCGTCATTATTATTTATAGATTACTTGATTTATATATTGATGAATTAATGTTTCCTTTGTTTCACGTAAATATCTGTCAAACTAATTGCTTCATGAGAAGAGTTTATTTTCTCTTTTTCTTTTTTTGTAAGATAGTTGTGTAGAATTTGAAATCCTAATTAAAAAATTCCTGTTCCTTTTATCTGAATGATAATGAGTTTATCATTATTTTATTGAATTTTCTACAGATGTTGTCAATAAAAAGCATATGATAAGTGCACTGAATAATGTGTATTTGTGAACCATATACTGGGACCTGTAGGATTGCTATTCAGGATATAGAAATGAGTCGACATGTTTCCCTGGCTCCTCACAGTATAGTTTTTATATATAGATATGGATCTTGCTATAAAGTGAGCGTAGTCATTGCACCTGAAGATTATAACAAAGCACTAGTACATTTATCATAGCATTCAATGCCATATCTGTATTTAAATTTTTAAACATTTCTTATAGCTCTATGTATTGATGTTATGTTGTAGTCAAAAGAAATTTTACACAAGTGCCAACAAGTAATTCTATGAATGGCGGAGGTGAAGATGGTGTGGAGCAAACGGCTATAAAAGTGTCTCTAAAATGTCCAATAACATATCGACGTATAACGTTACCAGCTAGAGGACATGATTGTAAACACATACAGGTAAATGTTCTAAGTTTAATTGTGATTCTGTGAGAGAATCCCATAAAAACAAACACACAAAATGAGAACTTACTACCAAATCAATTAAATGGTGTTTGCACTGTGCTATACTCCTTTTGAATGAAATAGTAAATATATTCTGAAATTTGCTGTTTTTCAGTGTTTTGATCTGGAATCGTATCTCCAGCTCAACTGTGAAAGAGGTACATGGCGCTGTCCAGTTTGCAAGTAAGTTTTATATCTAATTTTCATATTAATAATTTTTTTATTACAATAATATTAAAATATTAAATCTTTAAAGTGATATAAAATAAACAATAGTCAACATCCCCAAGAACATAAACTTATAGATTTCAACTCCTCCTTTCACTTTTAATATTGACATATATTCCCACATGTTATGTATGGAAGGGCATTTATAAATACAAGAATTATTGTAAGTAAAATGTATATTTGTTTGTATTTATAGTAAAACAGCATTACTGGAAGGGTTAGAAATCGATCAGTATATCTGGGGTATTCTCAGTAATCTGAATAATACAGAGTTTGAAGAAATAACGATGGATCAGTCAGCAAGTTGGAAACCTGTTCCTATCAAATCTATAATAAAAGAAGAGGAGAGTGGTAAGTTCCAGTTTGAGAAAAAAAAACCTACATGATTAATTCATTAGAAACGACCCAAATATCGGTGCAAAAATAGAAAGATCTTTGATGATGGACAAGGTGCAGCGAGTTGGCTATAATTTAAATCTCAATGGATGATCCATTATTAAATTCAGTCGTAAAGTACTTGGATGTGAAATTGATTCTATAATTGCATGATTCACTCTTTTGACTGAGAATGTGTTGAACTAGATGTGTTATTTTTACCTTTTTTCAGCAAATGATCAGTGTGCTAACAGGTGGCTGAAGGCAATGTCACCGTCAAGTACACAAATGCCAACTATGAACTCCTGGGATATGGGCCCTCAGGCATCCCCCTACAACCTCCAACCTAACTCAAATGGTAAGTTATTTATTATCTATTTGAATTCTTTTATGTGTTTTAATTTCGAGTCTTGGTTTGATTCCCACCAGTGGGAGTACACATTCAGGTAGTAAAATGCCGATCAAGTTTAATAAATGATCATCGCATCAGATAGGCGACATGTGTCTCTTGCCTGGAACTGTTAATGAATTCAGTGACAGTTTTTGCTATGTCTTAACGATTTTTTTTCACGAATTGTCATTCAGAATAATCAAAAATAACAACTTTTTACTGGTTGAACGTCTTAATTTTCGATTTCATCTTTTTAGGAGATCCCATGGGTCAACAATTACGGCATCCAGATCAATCAATTCCTAATGGTGGTCACATGATTCCAAACTGTCCATCACCACAAATTATGACAAATGGCAGCCATCCTCTGAGTCATCCATCACAGGGTAACAATAATCTTCATCTCCCTCCAGCAGGGGAGTGCCAGTCATTACCAGATTTAAACTTTGACCCATCCTCAATAATAGACAGCAATGGGCAAACAGAAAATTTAGTAAGTACCTACCTTGATTTACTTTAATATAAGCATGGCTATTGATATTAAGCTATATTCAAATATACACATTTAATACATGTATGTTTGGCATAACCTGAGCAAAAGTACTTTGGTTTATAACAACTTTGACAATTTATTATTTCGATTCATTAATAGTCTTGATTGACCAAATAAGTTGTTTTGTTTGATTGTCCTAGACACAAAAGGAATACATTCCCTAGTAATTCAAACTTAAAAGGAATATGTAGGCATCAATCTTCTTTTCAAGTAGCTATAGATCAATTCATTGTTGTCATCTATAAACTAGTTGAATGTTGTAAACCTCCACATTTCTCCAAAATAACATTTGAAAACTATAATTCTTAAATTAATTTGTTTACTGTGATATTTTGTTTGAGAGAGCATTCGTTGAAAAAATGCAAGTACCATGTTAAGTATGATAGATGGCTGATAATGACACCAGATTATTCTCAGATAGACTTAAGTGTGATTTGAAAATCGGGAAGTTTGAGAGTCGAGCATGCAAAATAATCCATTTCGTAATTATGAGAGATTTACATATTTTTTTTTTTTTTTTTTTTTGCAGCTTCTACCTGAAAATCTTGGAGATCCTTTAGAACTATTATCATATTTAGGGCCACCAGACGGCTCCAGTGATTCGACCAATCAAAATAACAATGCAAATGGAACAAACGGAAATAATAATAACAGTAATAATAATAGTAACAATAATAATAGTGACGATCTCTTAGCGTTGTTTGAATCTTGAAATGCTTTTAAACTGTGATTTATGGACCAGGTGTGATCAGTACTGGCGTTACACATTATATATGACTCATTTTAATTCTATTAAAGTGTGTAGACAAAAGACTACAGGATCTTTCATAGAAACCATTTTAAAAAGTTATGACAGCGCCAGCTTTTTACATTGGAATCATGCAGAAGCGTTATCCAGCAAACCATTTCTAATGCAATATTGTATTTTAAAAGTGTCAATATGCAGATGTTCGTTTATAAACATCACAAGTGAAGTCAAATAAAGGAGGTGTGTGAAAAAAAATAGCGAAATATTCGCGCAACGGTGAATTGAATCCAGGTATGGCTAACAACTGAAGGGAACAAAATTTAAAATAAAAACGGAGAGTTCTAGTTCAGTTAGTAAATAAAATAAACATACAAAACAATGAAAACAGGAGGTGATGTGCTCAAGTGCAAACTGTATCATGTTGTTTATTATTATTATTATTTTGAAAAAGAAGACTTATGTACATAAAAAGACTGGTAAATAAAGAATACAGCAGCACTATATAAAAAAAGACAAGTGTGTTACTGACAGCAAGTCATGTATCTTATTATTATTACTATTATAACACCAGTCTACATGTGATTGAAGTATTCACTTTTTGATTTTATAACATATAAATATATTATATATTATCTTGGTCATTATTTGATCATATCAAAGGACTAGAGTGTTTTATATAGAGGCAGCAAAAATGTCATAAAATTGCAGTTTCAGAAATGTCTGGAATTGCATTCATTCAACAACATCCATGGGACAATAAAGCAAGTTGGCTCAGTGCTATTTTTGATGAGGTTGCAATACGTTATAAGAAGCAGACCATAGGTCACAGATTGTTATATAAATGTTTCTGTTATATTTTGTGATCTGAAAAAGTGCAAGAACCATTTGCAATTATATTTTTAAAAGATTTAGGCAATATTATATAAAAGTATCAAGCTTTTGTTAAAGGCTTGAGTAACTTATACGCAGGGCAGTGTTAGTGACTATAAAAAGAATTAGTTAACAAGAACATAGTGCTGTGAGTATTTGACATGTAGACAGTTAAAAATACATGAATTATTTTTAAAACCACAAATACAGAATATCAACAACTTGTGATTATTTTCTGAACAATTATTTCAATCAACATTTTTGATCAAAAAGTGTTTTTGAAGAGCAATGAAATTTGAGGTTTTATAACATTTATTATTCTGTACAGTAGTACTATATTTATTTTTTTAATATTATTTCCCCCCATTATGTTAGGAATAAATATTGGCATACACTGGTCAAATTGTAAATACCTCTTCAATTATTTTTCGAATTTCTATTATATTTTTATCCTTTAAATTAATAGATTGACATTTTATCATGAAGTGAAAAGTCGGACTTTTTAAACAAAAAAGATTTTGGTTTAGTTAAATTTTTATGAATATTGGAAAGCAATCCTAAAGAAAGATATTAATTTTTGTATAGCTCTTATCAATTGCCGTGTGTTGCCATTATTGAACCATACATATTTAACAAAGATTATAAGAATTTGTTCTATACGTTATTTAAGAAAAGCTCATTTTACAAATGTACATAGTTTATTGTGTTGTCTGAGGCAAAATGTGACATTAGTGTCCTTAAGACTACTATTATTATCATAGTATAGATTATCTGTAAATAGAGTTCATTTAAAAATTCAAACATGTCCGTGGCTAATAGATAATACACAATTTAACCTAAAATGACCAATTGAACACCCCATGTTGTGAAAGTGTCAAAAAGCCAAAGTATAAAATTCAAATTTGAACAGACCAAAACCATAACTTGAACCAAAAATCAACATTTTAATTAAAATCATTTCTGTCACATTGAAACAATTTCAAAACCATTTTCATTCTGTACAAGATCGGTCACATTTCATAACAAGTTGTTCAATTGGCTAGTTGCTACTTTCACAACCATTCATCCACCAATCTGAGCCTGGTTGATGGATGTTCCAGCAAAGAACCATGGCTTTCGCAATATATAGTTATCACAGTGCTCAGTTTTGATACTAGTATAACCATGAATATGACCATAAAGCAATAAATATATGGCGTAATTGGATTTTGTTTAATATCGATGGTTATTTCGAACAAAAAAAGATGGCGGACATATTAATACTGAGCATGATACTAGTATTTTGACCACCACTTCAAATAGTGAGGTTGGTTGTGAATTAAATAGTCCTGTATTTATTATTCAATGTACAGTTTTTACATCATTATTTTATCCATTCAAACAACCTCACCACACTTCTCCCCTTATTCTTCCTTCCCCCTCCCTCCTTCCTCCTCTACTCTCTTCAATTCCAGTATTGTGTGTTACCCCCACTCCCCCATCCTCCTTGCCTTTTGTCCAAAACTAATTTATTTTCTTGTACATGCTTATGATATAAATATCTGTATTTGTGGCGACAACAAAATATAAATGTTAGTGATAAATTTAGCCAAAGATAATTCCTTGAATTGTTTTTTTTTTCAATTTTCATGAAAGGATTACAGTACCTCAGTCTAATCTTTGAATGAATTCTTCAAGTCACACAATTAAAGATATTTTTGATCTCAAAATCTCACCAATTATGTGCATTATCGTTGAACGAATTTATTCAAAGTATTCTCTCAAAATACATGTGAACCCCTCTCCTTTATATGACGACAAACAAAGCTTTAGATGGGTTTCAGAACCAAAAATGTTTCCTTCAAGATGTATGACTTTCATGTGATTAAAATTGGTTAAAATACTTACTATCTTATACAACTATTTCAATTGTTAATTTGTGCAATCCATTACTTGGATTATATAAGTTATAAAAAAATGGTCTTTGGCACCAAAATATGTACTTTAGTCCCTTTCATGTGATCATTATTTAATCCAATAAATGATAAAAACTGTTTTAAATGTGTTGGTTGTTTAAATTTATGATATTTGCAGAGTATTTCTGCATTGGCTGGTTTGGAAAAATAAATAAAACAGCAAGTTTCTGCTGGATAGAATGATAGGCACCAGGGGAGTTGTATGGGTGACTGACAATCACAAGTGACAAATGTCCAAGATTAGGCCATTTCATTTGCCCAGTTGGTGCAAAAAAGTAGGACCTTAAATCCCAATTCATTTCATTTTGCAGACTTGTGGGTAATGGTTATAAGATACATTTGCCAGGGTGGCATAAATTAATTTTGAAATGTGTTCATATAATACATTAAAGAAAACTGTTGGTAGTATTTTGAATTGCATATTTTTCTTTGTTCAGTGCCAAGGATTCGAGGGGAGTAAAAAAAAATATCGCCCAGGTTATTTGATTTTCATAGCTAGAATCTGGTGCTTGTAAATAAAAATCTCTAAGGAATGTTTGTAATTACGTTTTATCTAGGCACAATGCATACGAATCATGTACCGTTATTTACGTGATGAGAATCGTTTTCTGACTATCATAAGAAATAATTTAAGATAGTGTCCAGTTCAAATAGAAGTAGAAAGTTATGATTTTTGCTGGCAGTTTGCCGCAGCTAGACGACCAAACGCATAGTTTGTTTACGTGGTCGACATACCATCCTTTGTTATTGAGACAATCTTAGATGGAGGTCATTATACGTTCTAGAAGACGAAACTAACAAAAGCAATAACTAAAAGAAGGCAGGTTATTTTATAAATTGTATAAGTGGGGCATAGGTGTCGTACCATGCTTATAGCTATTGTCAATAGTAAGATGTGTTGCTAACACTCGGGTGAGATGCATCTTGTAACTTTTCCTCCATCGCTCCGCAAAAGAATCTCAACTTAATCTCTCGACACACTCTCTCTTTTCACCATATTTGATTTACAGTGAATAAACAAAACACAACTCCTTCTAAGCTACAGTTAAACAATCACGACGGAAATGTCCAAATTTCGGCGAAATAACCTTTGCGGTACCTTCATCTAAACAGTCCTTGTCGAGGTCACTAAGTACGTTTTGTGTCCTTATCGGATGCAAAAACCGTATTGAAGAAAGATATTTCGAATTTTATCTTTTATGTGATTAAACAGATGTGGGGTCATCGTGGCTTTGTAAAGGTATTTAACCCTGATTCCCAAGTTTTGGGGTTAAATCATAAAATATCCTATTAGTTTTATTTTACACCCATTCCGTAAACTTGTTAAATTCTAACCGTTTTAATTTAACCACGACTGGATTAAATGTCACATATTTTTGACGTAAGACAGACTTTAATCAAGCTTTTGTTTTTGTTTTTTTTTATCAGAAGACTTGTTTACAGTGTCCCATCTATTCTTAAAGATACGCACACTTGAGTCTAATAGGGTGATCTGTTCGGGTCACTTATTTTGACCTAAATGTATATTTTTAATGGCTGGGAAAAATTAAACTGAATTATCCAATAAGCCCACGATGAATCAAACAAGTTAAGTATCACATACCGTCAACCACGACTGCGTTGGCCGAGAAAGTTCATCGGGATTTTCCGATGGTGTATGACCGAGGGCGTGGTAAGGGACAACATAGTCGTTCGGATGGGACAAATAACCGAGATTCCGTGTATACGTTGGCAGTTGGAATTAGATATAAGAGTAGGCCGTAGCGCCGCTGTCCGGGCAAAATTTCCCCCATAGCACACAGTATGGCGTATGGCCGTCTTCATTATCCCAGTCGGAGAAGAACATAGGTCTTTAAACCCCATTTCATTTACCGCCAACCGCGGACCCTAACGTTGCTATCTTCTTAATGCGTGCATTACTCACACTGTATACTAGGTAAAACAACCTCATGTCCATTGTAGACTATTGAAAACGTTTGCCTTGAAATATCTCGAAAGAGATAATGATGATTTTGGTTAACAAATATATTTTTCCTGATAATTTGGATGTGTTTTCCAGTCGATGATTACATTTTGTTCATTGTGACTGTTGAGAAACACGTATTAAATAATGCTGGTTTAACAGTATACAAGATTTTAAAAAACAAAACAAGTGAGAATATTCAGGGAACGTTTAATGTAAGTTTGACATCATGTACATGTATAAATATTTGAATTGAACTAGAAACGACACACTTATTGAATAAATAATACTCTATTTTATAGGAATTTAATACTTTCAAATGTCACTGAATGTAAATAAATATCTGTAAATTTATTCTAATACCCGTCCTTGACTTACAACAGCGTACAGCAAATCAGAGTAAACGAAATCTATCGCCCACGCTTATATGTAGGTAAAGAAATTAGTTTTGTTACATCATCCAAACAGATTACGAATCTTTCGTCACGTAGCCATGATTTAAGGCCAATCTGTTCTTTATACTAGAACAGCAGTGGAAACCATTCCAGTTGTTTAATTAATTATATAATATATGGTATTACGTTTATTCCTACAGTGATATTCTTTCTTACTACGTTTTTATTAATGCAAATAGTTGCATGATTAAGCCTATAGACCGTGATAATATAATTAAGTATTTTCCGCTGTATCCGCCCACGTTGAAATGTTGTGTAGGGCTTGTCGCCGCCTCAGAACGTCTGTCAGTTGTAAACAATCGATATCACCTGATCTATAATTACGTAATTGAGACGCATAAACCTATTAATGTTCATCACCCAATAACACATTCTATAGTAGATATCGCTTGTGTGGTAACTTTCTTACTGAGCAATATCTCCTTGGATATATCACTTTACATAAAATGAAATCTATGCCAAAGAATTATATTTATTTATTTGTGCGTGTAAGAAATGGTTAGGCGATAAAAAAAATCTTCTATTCGTCTTTTTTGATATCAAAAAATATCAACACAAGTCTATAATGTAAAAAAGAACGGGCTTGTCGAGTTCATTTTTTACAGAATAAAAATGTTACTCACAGATCTACAACTCGACCATTAGCTGCTTTGGGCATATGTTTCGTTGCCTGGCAGACTGTCCTTTTGAGGTACAATACTCTGTATATACAGCTGTTACTGATGCTCGGTGTAGACCAGGGCGTCGTGGTGGGGTGGTTGCTGCAAGGGGTGCAAGATTTTGTAACGGCTCTCCAGTGGGGTTCGAAGACCAAGAAGCGCTAAACCAATCAATTACAATTAATCTGTGACTCAGGAGCGTTGTAACTATACTTAAACGTGTCCAAGCGGCGAGACCACACGAAGTTTTTTGCACGAGACACCTTCTCTGCCAACAGCGGGGTCGAGCCCCGGACCACCTCTCTTTACTCACCAAATCCCCGAGAAAAATTTGAAGTTTTTAGCACATTTTTCTCTATAAATTGCTTAAATTCAGTCCCCATCTGACAAATCACACATTGCACCTTCACAGCCCTTTGATATTTTAGCGATTTTGAACCCGTTTTACTGTTCAAATTGCATACAATTCCATCAATCGCTATTTTTTTTAGCAGATGCACCGAAATTCTATTGGGTTTATTTATCAGCAAGGGCGGCGAAGATGCCTATAAATTTTATTGCCCATAGAATGATAAATATTTGGTTCCTTATGGAGCTTTCCAAGGGACACCCAAGCCTCGAAATATGAGTTCAAATAGAATTTCTTGGGGTCCCTTATGATAAACAAACCCAATATCTATAAATTTTTAAGACTGCTTTTATACGGAAGCTGAAACTAATAAATATTCTGATTTAATATGCATATTTAACCATTTTTATGATGAAATTCTGATTAATGACAACAACTTATTCTGATTGACATAACCTTATTATTACCACTTAAAAAATTTGATCATCCGATTCGTTCTACTAGCTATCCTTTTTTACATAGCAACATAGCGGTGGACATTTCTCAGGCGATCAGCGAAGTTACGAGAAAGATCAATTCAAGAAGTTTGTATGGTCAAGAGTTATCGATTTTACAACGTTCGTTTATGTATGTTATTGCGTTTTAAAGGAGAGTAATAATTAAATCTGCGTAGGTAGGTTATGTTTCTTTTCTTATTTCTGAATATAACAATTACGCATATATAGCGTCCAGAAAACATTAAACGTCGTAACTATAATTACGCGTTATTTTCAACATAATTATAAGCTTTAATTTATCGGATCAGTTGACACTTTATACCGTATACATGCAGAACGCTCACATAGGATAAATTTCAGTTTGATTTGGACACAGCTTACCAAATATTCTTACGCCGTAGGGCGAAAGTTAATTTTACCCCCCCCCCCTCCCCCTCTTTTGCATGGCGATTTTTGTTGACTTTTTGGTGTAGATCGAAGAAAAGGGTTTGAAAATACATTTTCTGCCAGGTTTTAATGAATAATATTATGATTTTGAAGCGGAAGGGTCGGAGAGTTGAGAGATTGGTTAAGTTGAAATGTTGGGCAGAAAATTGCATGGTTAGTGGTCTTCAAGTTTTCAACAGTGAACCTCGTGCGTCCTTTTGAGCAAGAGGTTGCCACATGTTGCTCCATCTGTGGTAGAAAGCGTTCTCCAACGAAAATTTGGGAAATAGTTAGAGCCGGTCTAAGAGACGAGAATTAACATTAAAGTCAATATGGAAATCATTGCAGATCTGTGCCATTTACTGCCAATAATTTTAATCGAAAAAGAAAACTGGGTGTAATTATGAAACATTCATTACTAGGAATCCAGCCGTTTATTGCTCACGGGATCACGTCTATTCTCTGTCGATGACGGGTATCGCGGTTTCACTCGGTACCCTGTTCGGGTCGCTTCCTTGTCCATCAGATTCGAGTGATAAAGAATCCGTTATATAGTATCTTTTTTGTTCCTTGTTTTCATATGGAACTCATTTTATGGATTGATATATCATGTTGCTTTGCTCCCATTTTCATTGTCTGAACCCTGCTAAAGAGTGCAAACCAAACTGTTCCTTATTCGAATTTTCCTTCTTATTTCATCGAGAAGAGAGAGAGAGAGAGAGAGAGAGAG